TCAGCAGACCCTCCACGACTGTTGTTTCTGTCTGTTCTGTCACCGTCCGCTTCGTCTCGCGCAGGGTTAACTGATTGGGTGTAGGTGATACATGCAAAAAGTAAGTAAAATAGGAGTCATCTCTGTCCGTCTGTGTGTACTCCTCTGCCTGTGATACCTGTTGGGCACACTTACCTCCCTGTGGTATGTGAGGACGTCTCCTCCTTGTAATACAGAGCACACCTTCATATCCCATTGCTGGAGCCTAGGTATGACAGCCACCAGAACAACAGCCCTTAAAACTACTGAAAATGGTTCCTCTGGCTGCCTTAAGAGGAGTCACTGGAGTCTGTTGATACTTGCATCTTCTCTAGGGATTTTTTTTCTTATAACCTGTGCCGTCATCAACACCACAGAGGCAAAGTCCCCATGGGGGAATTTCCCCACAGCCCTGGGGCAGGAGCTGCCTTTGTGCAGCTTGTAGAGCTGTTGGCAACAAGAAAACTTCAGGGTGTGGGAAAGGAGTTGGGTTGTCTGTGGGCAAAGGTCAGAAAGCTCAGCTTGATAGCAAACAACTGTATGATAGCTTAGCTTGCCTTACTGCTCAAACAAGTTAACTTGTTTAATGATAAATATCCTTGCTTGCTCTGTGCTGATTAGGATAAACTGTGTAAGTATTATTTCTTTGCTTCAGATAGGAAGAGATGGCTTTGCCTTCGTGCTGGCATGGAGCAGGTCTCTGCTGTGTGTAGCTGGGTCCCCTTGTCCTGGCATTGATCCCCTGCTGACCTTGTAGTTTCTGCATGCGGGTGTCCCAAAGCTGCCTTTGAAATCTCTGAGTTTAGAGAGGTTAGGTGAGGTTTCTTTGCTCTAATAAACAGCAGGTAAGCTTGAGTTTTTAAATGAGACTTAAAAAAAAAATTAACTTCAAATCATGTGTGGCAGCTTTGGCTGCCGTACGTGTGCTCAGAGGTCTAGCCTGCCGCTTGGCATCTTGTGCTTGCAGTAAATACGTCTTCTGAGACTGCTCCTGCCTCTGCTTTCCCTGTTGAATGGGCTAAAATCATAGGGGAACAGAAACTCCATCAGCAGGGTTAAATAAAACAGTAATTATGATAGCACTTGGGTAAATATATCATGTCTCTGCAAGCTTCAGTTAAAGAATCCTCCCAGCAGCGAGAGCTGGACATGCTGAACAGTGAAGGCATGCAAGTTAGGTGGGCACAACTGAGCCCACAGCCAAGGAGAGCAATTTGACCTTAAAAAGTTCCTGGGTTTCATCCTTTGCCAAAGCTTTGCATGTGGCACGAGCATTGCATGGTGAATGGTTGTGGGGGCTCGGGCTGGCTTTACAGCAGGGATAAAGGTGCTGTGCTCTCCTCTCCGTGCTCCCCGCTGTAGAAGGCAGCCAGGGTCACCTGCTGCTTCCCTGTTTTTCTGCAGTCATTTGGTTCTGAGCCTTGGTACTTGCTGAGCATGAGGCGTTACGCCACGAGCAGCAGCAAAGCTGACTGAAAATGGTCCTATTGCAACGTTCATGTTTTGTGGACAGGGGGATGTGAACTGCAGAGCAGGGAAAGGGGGAGAGTGGATAGGAATTGCATGTGAAGGCTGCTGCTTGTTTTTTTGAAATTGAGCTGTTTTATTACATTTACTCAGATTAAAAAGAAAATATATCTCTAGTCTTTGGAGGCTACCTTGTTAAAAATATATGAGACTTCGATTTCCCACAAGTTTGTAGAAATTATCGATTACCACAGGGAAAGAAGAGAATGGAGTTGGGAAACACTTTCACTTACATGCCCAGTAGTTGGGCACTTTCAGGATTTTTTTTTTTGTTTGTTTGCTTTCCCCTCCTACCAAAATTCAGTTAAGCTCAGATCTTCAGCATGAGACCCAGTTTACCTGTGCTAACTGGCCACAGGCAGGAATCCAGCTGCACTCGGAAGGAAGGAAGGAAGGAATGTGTCAGCCATTGGCTTGGGGATTAAAGGTGGCTTAGTCATTAGAGATGGAAAAATACTGACAGCATCTACAGAACTGCCTGCTGTGCTCTGTGATCGGTGAAATGGCTTTGATGGCTTGTCACAAGGCTAAGCCTTTCCTGGCGTGTAAATATTCCCTTTCTTAGTTGGAGTGAGTAGCTACAACCTTAACTTAATTCCTCTTCCTTGAAGCATTGCAGCCTCACATTCATGCGGTCACTAGTTATACTGCATTGTAGCACATACCAGTGTTGGCTCTTCTCATCTTCTTCATGAATCTTTTGTTGCCATGTTATTGTTGTACTCTGAATTCCTTTCATTTTATTTAAAATGCCCAGCGCCAACAGCGTGCAGTAAATCTCAGGCTGCATATAAGGCTTTAAGTTACTCTTGTCTCTCAATGATTCAGAATTGCATAACAAACTTGGAGGAGGCTAAAGAAAGGACGTTAGCTTTTATAGATTTATTCTGGATGCACATGCTAATACTGTTTAGAGTGACTCTATTTCTGGTGCTGAATTTAAGAAATCTGGCCTTTCAGAGCGGGAAACATGTCTGCTTGTAGCTGATTTCGAGCTCTGAAAATGAGGTCCTCTGTGCTTCCAAAGAAGGAAGCTGTCAACAACAGCTTTGCACTTGGGTAAATATTTGATTCTTGAAAAGCTCTTGTTTACACTTGTTTTCCCCTCCTCTTAGCCCTCTGGGTTTAGTCGAGGTCCCGATGACACGACAGAGCGGACGGGCCTTGCGGGGCTGGATCTCCCGCTGAGGTGTCTGCCCTCCCCGAGCTGTGGCCAGTGCTCCTGGTGGCAGCTGCCCTGGGAGCGGGCACCGCTTAGGTGGCCTGTGGAGTCCCGCCCAGGCTCTTCCACCACGAGTCAATTCCTCCTTTCACATTTTGCATAATTACGTTTGTGTGGTTTGACCTTCATTTTCACCTCTCTTCCCTCCTCCACTATTTTTTTTTTGATGCAGCAGTTTTCTTTTGTCTAACCTTTTGGACTTCAGCAGCAGAGCAGGTTTGATGAAGCTGCAGGAATGGGAAGTGCTGTGCCCTCTCCTTGCGCAGGGGAGGCTGCTGGAGCGATGCCGCGGAGCCCGCAGCTCTGCGGCACCCGTGTCCCTGCAGGCTGCCTTTACGTGGCTGCACCAAAGACCCATAGCTTGATCACAGCAATAGTGGGGCAGAACAGCATTGCAGGTGGGGCTGAGTGATGGTAGAGAGGTGCCGTCCTGTGTGTTTAGGTAAATTTGTGCCATTGACTGTCTACCCTGAGACTGCCTGCCAGGAATAGGAGCTGCTAGTTTGCTTGGGCTCAGCAGGAGGAAAAGGAGGAAATTCCCTAGGAACTCTCAAGAGTTGAGTGTTTTGTTGCACACAGTGGGCGGCATTAGTGCTTCTTGAGCAGTGACCTGAATTAGTGAACTCTTGCCTCTTTTGCCCTTTCAAAAAAAAATCACCTCTCTGCCCTTCATCGCTGCAGTGCGTCCACTTGGAGGATGTGCATACTGCTCTTTCCATCCCTTACGAGGATGGGTACCTGGCCATAGCAATAAAACTCCTTTGCAGATAAGCAGGGCAGGCCCAGCAGCTGTGAGAGGGCAGGACTGTTTTTCAGCACTGCACAAACACTTGGATTTGGGAAGGAGGTGTGAGCTCTGTAGGACACTGTGAGGAAATCATGTGGGAGAGGCACTGTTACCTGCTTCACTTGAACCTCTAGCATTTCCCAAATGTGAATTTGAACTTGCTTAAGAAGTGATAAAATTGCTGAAGTGCTGAGTTTTTGTTGGAAAAATCTCGTTAATTTAAGGGGCTCTAGGAAAGAGGATAGTAGCTTTGAGGGGACATGTGAGCTATAACACACGTGTTTGCATTTGCACTGTTGTTCTTGGGTACAGACTGTGGATTTTTGTGTTGTGACTAAAGAGTAGGCAGGGATTTTGGTGCAAATTGCATATGTCAAGATAACCCTTTACAGTTCATGCTGCAAAGGGTTTTTTGGTCTTTGCAAGATATTCTTATGCTAAACACAGCTCGTTTCTCAGTAGGAACACTGTGATGACTGACAACATCGAATGTGCAACAAAATGAATCAAACTGAGCCTCACAAAAGGAACATACTACTGCTTTTCAAGAACTGCATTCTAATGTTTAGTGTGTGGGTGTGTAATAAATTGAGGAAGCAAATTGAGATTCTGAGATTGTTTTGTCCATTTCCAACAAGGAGATTTCCATAGCCTTAGATGAACAGGTGCGTCCATAGGGACATGCATTAAGCCCTGCAGTGTGGCTTTTGGTACAGCACGAAGTGTCTGTGTTACACAGATATGCAGGGAGCTCAGTGCAGAGTAAGGTTTTTCAGGATGACCCAGGGCAGTTGGACGGTCTCCCTTCCAGGCTGAAAATGGGATTCCCTGGATCTGTGTTTTAACCGTTAGAGATGCATCTGCTAATTGGAAAATTTGACTTTCTTTGTAACAGCAGCGTTTTGTGTATGAGAGTGCTCTGTTCCAGCAGGAAGTTACATAAGGGGAGGATGCTGTCTTCTGGGTTATAGCTGCTACCTTAGAACTCAGGAACAGGCTGGGGGGTTCTAAAATGGAATGCCATGAAACTCTCAAGTCGGCCATTTTGCAAGGTACCAACACTGCCTTGTTCTTGTGTGAGTAGCTCCAGGCTTCTAGGACTGTCTATCACATCAGCTTTTCTGAGGATTTATGTTGAAGCTCAAGAAATTAAGAAGCACAAAGTATTACATGATCTAGTGGGAGCCAGCCAGTGATAACAACTCAAGAGTCTTGCCTTTGTGCCTCTTAAAAATGCAACTAAAACTAGTATCTCTTAATTGCAGCTTTTTTTCCTGGTCATCAGCTTGGCTTCTTGAGCATGTAATTCCCCCAGACGGGCTGGCTTTGTGGATGTCTGACATGATCTACATGCCTTCAATGCTTTCTGGAGCCTGCCTTGTGCAACGTGAAAGTTTGAGTTATGTCCAAATTTCAGCTGTGTTATTAAGCAACGTCAAGTTTGCTTGGTACTGATTGCATCCAGGTTTCCTGGAGTGTAACGGTGCAAGCAGGCAGAGCTTTCCATTCAGAAAAGCTTCTGAGGAAATGCTGAATCCTTAGTACACACCGGCTCCTTAGGTAGGGGTTTCTGTGATGGACGATACCAGATCTCCCAGGTCCTAAAGGTACTAGTTTTAAGTTTTGCACAAGGGTACAATATCTATCAGGACCTTAACCAGTGTCTACTAGGTTGTCTGGAATCTCTTTATTCAGTGTGCTCCGACTGGGCCCGTAAGCTACTGTTTGCTCTTCATGTGCCTTGCATTTTATCAGCTTTTTCTGTCAGCAAGGTCAGTTGTTGCTGTTAGTGGCTCTGTGAGGCTGAGACAAGCTGTGGAAGTGTGAGCTATGCTTTGTCCTGCTCTGTGCACCAGCAGTGTGAATAAGCATAGTAGATTCTCCTTGAGAAGTGTGTCTTTGCTGTCATAATTAAGACCTGGAAGGATTCAGCCTTAGCTTTCTATCAGGTAAAGTCTGGATAGGACCATGCTTGGCAGTTTTCCTAAGAGAGTTAGTGGGGAGAGAATAAAACTGTGCAAGCCTGAGGTTTGTGTTCAGAGTGACTTTTGTTGCTTTGGATTTTTTGGTCTCCTCTTTGCTTGTCTGTGAATTGAAGCTCCTGTAACTGAAAATCACCTCCCTGTTGCGGTGTCCAGGACTTGTCAGCCGCACGTTATTTTTAGCTAGTTGTTTAGGATAACCTTCCCGTGGCTGCTGAGTCCATCGCATGGAGAACCAGGTGGTTACCACCTCCACTGACAGAACCTTGCTGCTATTTATTTTAAAAAAATGGGGGGAGGGGGTAGCAAATTCTGCTCTGAAAATGTGATGTGTCCCAGCCAGCAATTGTATATCACTGTCTTCTGGGTGCTCATCTAATAAGGAAGAGTTCTGCAAAGCAACATGGATAGATATTTGCTGCTCTCTCCCTTCCCCCTTAAAAAAGCTCTACTCCAAAGCAAAAGGAGAAAAAAAAAAAACCCTAAAAATCCTTCAACAAACCCTATTGACTCACGTTGTGTTTTTAACCAGTCCCCAGCATGTTGGAGGCAGAGAGATCAGTTGGAGAGCATGACCCTGGTATTGCTTTTAAAGAAAAATGAACCTCCTCCTGCTATTTGTATGTGACTTTGGAGTTTTATAAACCTGGATTGAGTTGTGTTTGGTGTCGCTTAAACCGCCAGTTCTTCTGGGGTTTTGGTTTTACTTGTACCCAAGAGTTAGTTTTCCAGCACAGCTCTGAAACTTGGGTACCTCAACTCTGCTAGGCCTGACCAGAAAAACTTGTTGCAGGTCAGTAACAAAGCCAATTTCCTCCAATGAACACGGCTGTCTTATTTCTTCTTATGTTGAGGAGCTCTTGTTTTACTAGACATAAATGCAAGATGCTGGGTCTTGTTCATCCATATGAACATTGGAAAAGTGCTTCCAAAAGAAGAGATGGAAATATGAGATTTAGTTCTGGAGCTGGGCAGCAGGGTGGGCAGAAGAGGTAAATTCAGCACTGTTGCCAGGGCAGTTTAGCCCCATGGCTTGATTATTCCCTGGGGATGTATCCAGAAGTACAAGATCTTAATTAAAGACTCTTTCTCTCCCTACTTCTCTAGGCAGCATGAGAGTTCAAAAGCTATTTAGAAGTGTTTGGTTAAAACATGGAGTTCAGAAATCCACACATCCCCTTCTGTTTCCTTTATTTCTTAATTTTGAAAGGAGTCTCTTGGCCTTTGTTACTCAAGGTAGTTTGACCAACCTTGTGGTAGGGAGGAAGACGCGTAAGATGAGACAACTGTGGTGAATTTTAGAAAGAGTGGAAGAGCTGGTTGGTGAGTGGTGGGAACAATTGAGGGGTAGTGGTCTGAAAAGCTGGTTTTGGAAACGAGAGCCAGTGATAACATGTTAGCAGAGCTACTGGACATGACGTACGGCATCTGAGGAGCGTACTGCCGAGGTTCAGCTGAGAGCCTCCGAGTCCAGCTGCCTGCATAGGGCGTGTAATGACCAGCAAGCAGGGGCCGTGGTATACAACATCCAAAACTGCCTGCTCAACAGATTAATTCTTCTGAATGGACTTCTCTTGAATTGTTCATCGAGATCTTATTTATGGTGATTTTTGGATTACAGAAACGTTGGGATTCCTGGGAGAGAAGTAACTGAGAAGTGACTTGTTTGTTTGTTTTTCCCAGGCTGGCAGCCTCGATGGTTTCTTCTCTGTGGTGGTATCTTGTCCTATTATGATTCTCAGGAAGATGCCTGGAAGGGGTGTAAGGGAAGCATCCAAATGGCTGTGTGTGAAATTCAAGGTAACTAAGATACAGTAGCACTCCCTGAACAAACGTTGTCTGATAAGTATATGCTGTGTTAGAAATCAGACTTCCTGGTATCTTAATTTCTTTGGCATTTGTAGTAACTCAGTAACTTGATCTATATGTAAGTCTTTATTCTATAGTATTTTGAAAATATTACAAAAAATGCAAGTTGCTACTATAATGGCACATGTCCATGTAGAATATTATTTATTTTCTTAATCCACGTTAAAGAGTACACAGCTACAAATAACTGTCTAGGCACAAAGCTAAAGCTAGAAATATGAGTAATGAACTTAAACACTGCATCTGCTTATACCTGGTGGTTTACTTGCCGTGACTTTGAGGCTCAATTTTGGGCAGGGAGTCTGAAAGAGAGGCTTGCTAAATGAGAATATCTTTTCTGTAAAGACCCACAGGTGATGCTATGCTACCTACAGAAGTGCTTTTCCTAGCTTTTTGTCCCAAACCTGTGTGTCCTGTCCTCTAATTCAGCTGGAGCACTGCAGAATGGCAGTGAGGGAAGGCTGGGGTTATAGGTTCCTGCTCCTCCATTGCTGTATGGCTTGCTACATACATATCTATTTGGTTATTCATTTGGGCTGGGATGGGCTGAAGGAGAAGAAACGTGTGCCATGCTCACCAGGAGAGATCTGGCCTGAAACCTGTGTTGCCTCCAGTCCATCCTGCAGACAACACGCGGATGGACCTGATCATCCCTGGGGAACAATACTTCTATCTAAAGGCAAGAAATGCTGTGGAGAGGCAAAAGTGGCTGGTTGCACTAGGAACTGCCAAAGCCTGTCTGACAGACAGCAGGACACAGAAGGAAAAAGGTAAGAACTTGCTTAGCTGCTCACTTACTGATTACCTTTCCTTACGTTTACCCTAGGATATGCGTGCAAGGATCACAAAATCTGTGCTTAAACTGTGTTCAACTTGTGCTGCTGCAGATCTTAAACGCCACTAAAAGTCAGGCCACATGAGGACTCTAGTCAGAAGTCTCAAACATTAGGTCCTCAGTGCAGGGATCTGAAAACTTTGATTTATACATAGCATGTTTTAAGGAGAAGTCATTTGAAAACTGGGCTGATAGCCTCCTGCAGAACAAACCCTGGCTAGCTCCAGGTTCCCAGGATGTGGGCTCTCTCTGTGTGTGTGGGGCAAGTCCCCTTCACACCTCTGTCTGTTCACCTGCTGCCTTGCTCCAGTGCCTGCTCCTCTTCAGCTTTCCAATTTCTCGGGCCTTTTGCTTTCCCTATTCTAACTGGGCTGCGTGTGCCCTTCTAAGACCCCTTGGCAATTAAAGAAAAGGTTTGCAATTGGTCTTAAATGTGCACACTAGCTTTCAGAAAGTGAAACCTGTCCATGGTCAAACCATGAATATTAGTTTACTTCTCTTGGATTTTATCAGCAATCTCCACTTTCACAAAGTAGAGCTCCCTTGCTTCAAATGTGGTGTTATTCATGAGTCACACCGAGACCCTTATATTTTAGCCAAGTACAACCTCAATTCAGTGGCTACCTCGAAAATGGTGAAGAGAAAATGTGAATAAATTGGTAATCCTCAGCAAGCCTGGGTAGAGCTTTGCTCCTTTCCCTGAGGTGAGGAATAGCTTCTCTTCTGCTAGCTGGAGCTTGCATCTTCACTAGCCTGTGCAGGTGCCAGTTCAGACTGACTCTCAGGAGATACTGGTGTAGAGTCCTAAACAAAATGTGGGCCTGATGTGCAGTGCCCGTCACAGCTGGAAGTAAAGGCCAACCTAGAAGAAGTCAGTATCTTTTGAGTTAAGAGAAAATGCTTTGAAATGGGAAGTATTGATTGAGTTAGGCTGGATAATACTATTTAAGCAGCTCTCCAAAATCTGTACTGCAAGATGGGGAGAATAAATTTAATTCTTTTGTTTCCTTTGTAGAGTTCACTGAAAATACGGAAGCCTTGAAAACTAAAATGTCTGAGCTTAGACTGTACTGTAACCTCCTTGTTCAGCAAGTGCATAAAACTAAGGAAGCCAGCATTTCTGGTGCATCAGAGCCAGAGGTACAGCTCCATTTTTTAATTTTTATTTTTTTTCCCTCCATGTAAACCAGTTCTTTGAAGTCTGGACTATTCTAAACTCCTGATTAGCCAGTTGTCTCACTCAAAACTAGTTAGTATGGTGCTGTCTTTCAGCTGAGATGGTGTAGGAAATAACAGGCCTACACAATAGTTCCTGTTTAATGAAATGGTAACTCTATTGATATAAAGAAAGGTAGCAGATAACTTCATGTTGGGTAGTAAGCAGTGAGATGACCCTAGGGTCTTGGAATTCTAGATAGTAGCCTATCAAGGTCTTCTGTTTTACTGTGGATTATCATGTGTGTATAGTGGAACAAAAGGAAGTGAGGGGGAGGGGAAAAAAAAAAAAAGGAAATGATAGCTTGCAAGAAGTATGTGTTTGTCCCTAATTAGATTTCTGTTCAGAATCATTAAGAGTTCAACTTTGGGAACGGGGGAAAAAAAAAAAAAACTCTTTTTCCTCAAGTAAAACCCTTAAAGGGTCAAGAGGTAATAGAGACCTTAAAAAAGTAAAATTGAGAGGAAGAGCTGCTTTGTTAGCCTCTGCACTAACTAGCAGTAACTGTTTTAAGCTTTAAGACACATTTGTCTTACAAATTTCCTGAGCAAAAAAAGCCTAATTTTAAGAAGAGTGCCCTACTGCTAATGGTTTACCGCTTGATTTGGGAGCAAGTGCGTGGAAGAGGGAGGCTGTGGGAAAGATGATGTGGAAGGTCCAGGGTATCTCCAGGAAGAGAGACCCAAGTGCAAAAGGGGCAGGCAAAAGAGGTTGCATAGTCCCAGTAGTATGTGATGCCAGGTCTCTGACACTTTGCGTTAACTTGAGTGAAACTGGAATCATGACTGTAGCAATAGTGGGTTTTGTTTATGGTGGGTGCTCCAAGCTAATCTTTTGTGATGAGTCAATATCTAATTGGTTTCTTCCCACAGAGCGGGATTGATGTGGGAGCTCTGTTGAAATCAACCTGTGACACCTTCCTGAAGACTCTTGAAGAGTGTATGCAGATTGCAAATACAGCCTTTACTTCCGAGTTACTGCATCACACTCCACCTGGATCCCCACCTTTGGCAGTTTTCAGATCCAACAAGGCCTGTATTCCCTTCTCCAAGTCTTGGCATGGGAAGAAAAGCCTATTTGCAGAGTAGCATTTGTGGAAGTTGAGAATGAAAATTTTAACCATGCAGGAGCTAGTAGTCTTTTACTAGGCATGCTCTGGCTTGCAAGTTGTATAGGGCTTCTTTGATTTTTTTTTTCTTTTTTTTTTCTCCTTTTTATGATAAACAATGACTAATCTCTAACTTCTAATCATAGATGAAAGTTATTAGTAACTTTTAGGACTAGCCACAGACACATATTTCAAAATTGCCTGTGCATGGCAAGCTGATCCATTGTGCGAGCTAGCAGCACTTATAGTGCAGTAACTTAAAAAGATATGTGCAATATTATATATTATGCAGTAGAGCTAGCAGCACTTACAGTGCAGTAACTTAAAAAGATAATATGTGCAATATTATATATTATGCAGTATAATATGTACAATATTATAATGATATGCAGTATGCTGCAGTTATTGCAGTATAGTATGTGTGATGATATGCCTGGTGAGCTTATCTTTTCAGAAGCAAAGACGCTCAGACAAACAGCAGACGAAGGTGTATGCAGGGAGGTAGATGCTTCGCTGTGTCCGGGAAGTGTGAGGTTTAAGAAACGTGATAGGCTGCTCTTGGTTTAAAGGATATATTTATTTTTTTTCCTTTTTATCTTACAGATGAAACACTCGGTCTTGTCCAGTCATACCACAATAGAAAGGTATAATAAAAATCCTTATTAACGATCTCTTTGTAAATTGTTTTTGGTAGTGCCTTTTCCTTCCATATTTTTCTCTCTGGTATTACCAGTACTGGATACAGGCAAAATTGTTTTGTTCTGAGCTGCAAACTTGGAAAAAGACACATCAAAAGGGAGCTGGCTTACCTCCACCTCATATTTTCCCTTTCTCTGCTGTTTCCCTTTTATTTTCTTCCTCCCTCACCATTGCCATGCTGACTTCCTGGTCACTCACCAGCCCTACCTCTCCCACTTCAGTGCTTTTCTTTTATCTTTCATTCCACTCCATATACTCATGAAATAATTGCTAGGGAGCAAGCTGTGATTTGTGGAGGAGATGGCAAGGGTGTGTGTGTGTGGGTGTGTGTGTATATATATATAAAAGCACTCCTGAGGGGGCTGCTCTTTTAGCAAAAACACCTGCCTGTAATCTGTATTTTTTTTTCTTTTTTTTGTAATCAATACTATATTTTTACTCTCCCTCTTTTTATTTTATTTTATTTTATTTTATTTTATTTTATTTTATTTTATTTTATTTTATTTTATTTTATTTTATTTTATTTTATTTTATTTTAGTCATTGTGATTATATTCACTAATCTATGAGCAGGGTTTGAATCATTGACATATATCCTATTTGATATATGTCCTTCCACCTGTGCAGCCTTCTGCTGCCTAGAATTCTGGTACCTATTTTTCTTGTTGTCCCTATGAAAACACACAAACAACCATTCCACCCAGCAATAATTTTATACATTACTCATTATTCCTTTCCTTCCTTCAGGCAAATGGAATTGAACCCTTGTGAAAATGGCTCTGTAAAAAAAGAACTTAACCATCAAGAGCAAACCCTTATTAAAAGCTTAGCACATTTAACGCTAGAAACAAATGAGGGGAGCAGTGATGTTCCAGCTGAAGACCACATAGAAGTGAATTTGACAGGTGAGTGTATGTGCTGCATTTTACTCTTTAAGAATGATTCTGATTGTTACTCTAAGAATAATTGGAGGAAGCCTGTAAGTGCTGATATCTCTGCCCTCCCAGGAGAGGGGATGTTAGTACAGGACTAACGCAACTTAGTCTGGTGTCTGCCCATTGTCCAGCCGCCTTAGCACAGCTCCTGTCCATGTAGATAGCCAACTTTATTCTGCACGGGGAGGGAGAATAAAGCTCTTTCTTGAACAAGAGGAGGCTCTTCTGGATACTGATTGACGTAACTGGCAATGCAGTTTGGCAGGACTTGGGCTATTCTTGCACCGGGGGTGGACACTCCATTCCCAGAACCTCTCCCTTAACACCTCTGCTAGCACCTCCTGCTGCCCTGTCAGAAGGGGAGCAGGAAGCTTTGTGTTGATATCTGAGGGGGCCTGACCTTGTAGTTGCTCGTAAATGCTCTGGCAATTCTCTGTGGAAAATAAACTCTTTTTCCCTGCAATTAAAAGCATGTTAGAAAGTACCTTATTTCTTCCCACCACTTTAGCAGAACATGAAACTTGGAATTGTGTGTGGCTTCAGCAAAACTCTGTTGAATTAGTTTGTATAAAATTCCATCCAACATGATTCTTAAGCGCTGCTAAAACTTGAAATCAAATCTTCACGAGCAACCTATTTTCCATTCCTCCTCCTGTTGAATGGACTATATCCACTATATTCCATGGCCAGTATTCCAGAACTCCATGCTAGGGAAGCTATAACCATGCAACAGGTAGTCTTTTTTGTCAAGGAGGTGAGTCTGCTTTCCTAACCACTTCCTTACTGAACATGTGCAGCCTCACCTGCATTGGAGGCTGGTAGCTGGTTTGGCTGATGAGAGAAGAAAAGGAGAGTGGGAGAAGACAAGAAGAGAAGCTTGTTTAAATATTGTCTCAGTTGCCAGCATCAGAGGAAGTGACAAGTGCCATGATGCTGGCAGGAAAGCTTTTGAACTTGCATGCTCTAAGTATGCCTTCCTTTAAAGAGCTGCACAGAACTGCAATAATATATGTATATATGGTTGTGCTTTTCTGTGTTTTTTGTTTCCTATAAATACAAGGTATTAAAGAAGACGGAGAGAGCAAGCTGCAAGCTACAGAAGGCTTTGGTACCCACAAGTTACTGCAGTCGGAGACAGATTCTATGTGTGGATCAACTTTATCGTGTGAGGAAGACGGAAATGAAAAAGACTTTCCTACCTTCTTCAGTGTCATGAGCAATAGGTAGAACATGCTGCAGATTTTAATTACAAGGGTATTAAGACTCCATGTTAAGCTGTTAATTGATTCTTAAGTCTGTTCTGCCTGCAAAGCTGTGTATGTTAGGATTATTTGGCAGAACTAGCTACAGCACAGTAATAGAAGAAGATAGACTTTATAAAATCAGTTTTGCAGGACATTCTGAGAGCAGAGTCATTCACCTAAACCCAACTTTGAATGACTTCCGTACGCTCCTGCCTTTCTGGGAATTAAGCATTTGTCTGCAATTACACTTGTAAAGAAACAGTGTGTGGAGTTCTGAAAGCATCACTGGTTGTGAGTTTGTGCTTGAGCTATTCCAAAATATCTATATTGGAAGTTGGTTTTTGTGGTTTGTGGTGACAGTCTGACAATAAAAAATATCTTCTCTTTTTATCCTGGATCCAGGTTCAGTGATATTGAACTCCGTGAGGAGGAGGGCATACCAACAGAGGAGTTTCTGGAGTCCTGTTATGCAATCGTGCCTGTTCTGGGTAAGCAGCTCTTCATTTTTCTCCTAGCTAGTGGCAATGGATTGTGAAACAGTTTGGGGAATTAATTTCTTTGCTGAAGTGATATAATGTAAAAATAGTTTCTATCAGCAGAATCAATCTGACTGGTACCAGATGTTTCTTATTCCTGCTTTTGTAGAGAATTCAGTCTTGTTTAGCTAGAACCCTGTGTAAGCTGTCTGGGAATCTGAGTTCATCTGGAACAGTAATTTCCTCCCCTCAAGAGAACAGTGTAAATGCCTTATGTGTAGTACAGCTGAGAGTAGCATCAGCTATGCTCTCTATTGTGTTTCTCCCTCCCTCCCCTCCCCTTTTTCCCTCCACCCCACACCAAAGACTTCCATCTCCAGCTAGTGCAGTTCCCTGTCTGCTTGGCCTCTGAATCTGACATGTTGTGGGTCTCTTTAAAGACTCTCCAAATTAGTATATCTTAACTCTTACACCAGATGGAGGTTTTGGTTTCTGTAACTGAAGAAAGACTTAAGTTTATGTTGTTCATTTAGCATCCTGCTGTTATCAGAAACATTGGTAAGAGTGAATAAAATGAGTTGTTACTAAGGCACAAGAAGTGGGAAAAGGCATGATTTTAAAATGTGGCCTTTCTTTCTTTCCAGACAAGCTGGGACCAACTGTTTTTGCTCCTGTTAAAATGGATTTTGTAGGTAACATTAAGGTAAGAGCTAATTTTTAACACCAACTTTAAACAAGCAGGGCTCCATTTAGCTAGCTCCTGAACTAATGATCATAACTTTGTTGGAACATCTAGCTTAGGTATCAGAACAAAAGAATTTTTGTGTCAGGAGCCAATATTGGAAGGTCTTTTTAGTATTTGTTAATGTTGCTCTCTGTCAGCTCAGAATGCTGAGATTCCCTAATTCCTGTTCCCTAAATGGGAACAGATCCTGTAGTTGAGGTGCTCTTGGAGCACTTGCTGTGTTTAATAAATCCAACTGTTTTTTCACAGCGAAACCTTTAAAATCAAATCTGATCAACTGCCAAGTAAGATGTCTGTTATAGCTAATGAGTATGACTTTAATTCTGGTCTGAGAGGATTATAAGCCATGATGCAATGGTTTAGACTGGAGAGCAAACAAGAAGAAAATGCCTTTCCTCAACCCAGTCAGACCAAATGAGTTCACTAAGAACCAGCTCCTTGGGAGCTGTAAATGGGAACAGATCCTGTAGTTGAG